GATCAGTGCAAGACTGAAGATAAAATAAAATAAACAAACAGGACCAGTACATTATTAAAGATAAATAAACAAATAACTAAATGAATAGAATGAGGTTAGGGACACCTCACTCTACAACTATAAGCAAAATAAAATAGATTTAATTATAATATTCTTCTCCCCTACCTTAAGAGTTGCGGATGAGGTACCAAGATTTTTACAGAAACAATTTTTTTTTTCTCTTTCTCTTCCTCCCTTTCTCTTTCTCTCTCATTCTTTCTCTCTCTTCCTTTCTCTCTTTCTTTCTTTCTCTCTCTTCCTTTCTCTCTTTCCCTCTTTCTCTCTCTCCTTCTTTTTCTCTCTTCCCTTTCTCCCTACGGATCCTTTCCCCTACGGATCCTTTCTCCTTACCCTTTTTATAACAATTTTTTTCTTTTTTATTTATTTAATTATATAATCATAAATACAGTAATTATGATTTTGATAATGTTTATCTTTTAAGATAAGATAATGTTTATTTTTTAAGATAAGATAATGTTTATCTTTTACATTAACTGAGACGTTACATTCCTTATTCTTAAAAGAACTCCTACTGCATCCTTTCATTACAAAGTTGCAAATTTGTCAAACATTTTCATTTTATTTAGGTTGGCTAGATAGGAGTTTTGTAATATCATTTCCTCACGTCAAAATTTGTCATTAAGATATGTTATGATTGTAAAAAAAAAAAAAACTGATATGATTTAATAAGATTACATGAGCATTTTAAAAGATAAATGACTAAACTAAATAATATATAAAAGATAAAGAATCATTTTAATAATTAAATATTGTTTAAAAAAATATAAAAGGCTAAATACTAATTATTAGTTTGACTGATCAAACTTATTTTATAAAGACTTTTAGAAGAAGAAAGTTAGATAAAGAAAATTAAATGAGTTTTACCATAAGTTAAATTTAACTTACACATTTTTTTTTAATAGATTCTTACAGATTATATTTATGTATAAACTAGTTTAAGTTTTTTTTTCTTTTTAAGCTCTAATTTTTTTCTCCTAACAATTGTGTTTGTATAGAAATTCATAATTGTAAAAAAATTAAAATAGATGGAATTTGAATTGTTTCGCATTCAAATGATTTTAACTTTCAAATATTTTATTTATATAAGAGAAATTAAATTTATAGATTTTAATTTTTCTTATTTAAATAGAGTATTTCATTTACTATAAAATATATATAAGATAATATTAAGTTACATTTAATAACTAAAAATGTTACTTCATAATAGTTTTTGGGTTTGTGTTACTTGATGCTATTTGTCTATTATCCATTAAAGTCATTCTTTTAATAATGTTGGACATAATTACTTTTAACTCATATCGGAGCATGGCTATCAAAATCGGATTGGACTAGTCGGTTCAACCAGTTGGATTGAACATTGGTTTGATAACCAGTTCGGAGTTTCCTAAAAATCAAACATACAATAAATCGGTCAAAAATCAGATAAAATCGAATGGGTCAAGGGGTTATTCATTTTTTTTTCTAAAGGCTAAACATTGTCTTATATTTTTTTTCTTTAGTTTAACACAGGACACCCAAACGTGAAGAGAGAAATCTTTTGTACCAATGGTGGTATTTTTCGTTCACTGCAGTTTTTGTTCTTACAATTATCATCGTCACCGCCACTCACTACCTTTGATTGTCTCCTTCCACCATCATCCTTTTGTTATCGTGATCTATTATTGTCACTATAATCATTCATGGAAACACAACATGTAAGAATCACAATTTCTTCATTTAAAAAATTAATTTGATAAAATAATTTTGGAGATGTCACATTGTAAATGAATAATATTTTTGGAGGGATTTTCAATGCATATTTCAAGAAACAAAATTTAGGATTTTCTAAAATTAGAGTTTTTTAAAATTGAGATTTTCTAAAATTGTAATGGTTTCTAAAATTAGATACTAGGAGTAGATATTGATGAGTGGGTAGTGAACTAAGCATATTGACTTATCTTTGAATTTCATAACCATTAAATAAAAATAATAAAATTTAAAGTTAGATACTATAAAAGATATTATGCAATTTTTTCTCTTTAATTATTTTCAAGTTAGGTACAATTTTTTTTTCCCAAATTATTTTCAAGTTAGTTACAATTTTCTTTTCTTAATTATTTTTAAATTAAGTACAGTGAGAATTTTTTTGTCTAATTACTTTGTACTTCAAGTTTTGAAGATATGTTTAGTTATGTTACTATTCATTTATGTATTCTACAAATTATTCTTGTTATTATATACTACTTTTTCAAATATTCTTTATATTGAAATGTAGGAATCACTAAGTGTGAGTAATATTGCTATGTAGGAATTATTTTTTTTGTCAGTGATTCATAGTTTTGGGATACACTTATTTTAAGTTAATATATTATTATATTATTAAAATATATTATTTTATTAAATCTGATTCTACTTAGTTGAACCTTTAAACCATACATGAGTTTGATGATCGGTTCAATTTTAAGAAAATTAGATTGGAGTTATTGTTTAACAACATAAGTTCAGGTAAAATTTCTCTATTATAAATTTTTTAAACTAAATTAAAAAAAAAATAATGATATTGATTGAAGAAAACTTTTGGTAGACATAAAATATATATATATATATATATATATATATATATATATATATATATATATATATATATATATATATACAATTTCTTGAAAGTGAATCCGACACTTTAATTAAAATAATAAGTTTTTTTATTGTTATATTCAATGTTTTTAAAATTTAACCTATTTTTAAATAAAAATATAAATTTGAGATATAAAGATTCACTAATAGGAATCATACCAAATTTAATAAAATAATATTTTTATAATATAATAAGTTTATTAATAATAATATGTTTTATAAAAAAATAATAAATATTACTATTATGATTATAAAAAATTACAATAAAAATTATAAATATTAAATATATTAAAGAGTGAAAAATGAATAATTATTAAAATAAATTAAAAATATAATAAAATATCTATTATTTAAAATTGACTCATAATTAATATGAAAGAAAAAAATTAAAATATATTATATTTTTTATAAAAAAATAATATTAAAAAATTTGATCTAAATATTTTTTTATCAAAATTAATTTGACAAAAAAATTGATCAATTTTTTCGGTTTTACCAATTTTGTCCAAATTTTTTCAATTATATCCCAATCTAATTAAAATGTAATTATTTAGAAATAACTTTTTGATTCTTGGTTTAAATGGCAAGTCTTCAAAACAGTGGTCTTAACTTAATTATACTGTTATACATTAAAATATTTAATAGAAAATAATTAGTATTTAAATAGGTATTAATTGACAAGATGATTATAAATTATATGATTCAATAATATATACTCAATTTCATTACTTTGACCTAAGTTTTGGAAAGTCTAAGACATTTATCCTTTTTTTTTTCTGGTACGTGGTAAAGCTCGGTCACATTGATTCCAGTCCTAAGTAATATGATGTTTGGATTAATCATGTTCTTTTTGTTTCGAATCGTTTGATTGTATTTTTTTCAATTTACCTTTTAGCAAGAACAATGTTAATATATGTCAATTAAAAAAAGAAATGACTAACATCAATGGAGAACTCTCCATTAGTCACACTAACAGTGATCTAGACAACACTTATTAACATTAATGCAGAAATACGCCTAACTAACATCAACATCAACCAAAAAAACTCAATAATATTAACCATATTTTACATCAATCAAAATACAGTCTTGTTAATAATAAATAATCCTAGTTGACATTGACAAAAAGCAAAATAATCCTATTAACGATAAAAAAAATAATCTCAACTAAAATTAATGAAAAAAATCATAATTAGCATCAAGCGCTGAAACAATTATATTTCTAAAAGGGGGTGATATTTTGACAACCAAAAACCATACAATAGTTATAAATAATTCACTTTTATTAATATAATAATCTATAGACTGATTTAATAAAAATAAAAATAAAGTAAAACTATTATTATAATATTAAAACAGAGTTATTTACAGTAGTTGTATGGATTTAGGTTGTCAAAACATCATTTTTCTTTCCAAAAATAGCACTTGATCAACAAAATACTTACTATATGAAAAATATCATTGTCCTACGTTAATAAAAAAAATAGTAACATTATTATTCAAAGAAACAATATTAAACTATAAGATTCCAATATCGAGATTCAACTAACAATGTTTGAGCTAAGATTTACTTAATAATGACGTATTAAAACCAAACCAATAAACAAATATAAAAATAAGATCAAACTAATAAACAAATATAAAAAAAGAGCAGAAATATGAGAAAAAAATATCTACATAAAATTTGGAAATTTTATATTTTTAAGTAAATTTTAGAATATTAAGTAATCAAATAATTATGATATTTACAAATTTTAATTTATTTTAAAATTTTCTATTAAAAACTCATTTGTTATTATAACATATTTTAAAATTTATATAATATTAAGTTACTCTCTAGCAAATAATGATCGGAACACTCGTACCCCACCAAAGTCCTTATCAAAGAAATTTCTCAAAATATTTTAATATTATCAAAATTTATTATTCTTCCTCCAGCAACTTTCCACGGTTGATTCATAGAATTTTAAATTTAAAAACAATAAATATTTCAGTTGGAAAATTTTAACTAAAATGAAACTGTATAAACCTTAACAGTAATTCTGTGACGGTTAAAGGAGAATAACTTGCAAAGGGGGGGGACATCAGCCGGAGAAAGATATTATCGATTGGTGTAAATTTGAGGAAGGAGTTAAACCGTCCATACGCTACTGTCCCTGCCCATCAACCATTTCCTTTCCTTGCCTTTGGCTACTTCTTTTCTTTCTCTTCATTATCATAACCACACCAAACCACACCCACCCTCTCATATTTTCTCTATCTGCCACAATTATCCTCACACTTTCACTCATTCCATCTTTCTCACGTCTTTTCTCATTACAACGATGGACCCAAACCCCAACGAGGTTATCCGCGAGTTCCCTCACCTCTTCCGCGCTTACAAAGATGGCCGCGTGGAGCGTCTCCTCGGCACCGAAACCACCCCTCCCGGCATAGACCCAACCACCGCCGTTCAATCCAAAGATGTGACCATCGACCCCCAAACTTCTGTCGCCTTCCGCCTCTACCTCCCTCCCACAGTCCCCTCCTCCTCCCAGAAACTCCCTCTTCTAATCTACATCCACGGCGGCGCCTTCTGCGTCTGCACCCCCTTCAACCCCGCCTACCACAACCACCTCAACTCCGTCGCCGCCAAAGCTAACATATTCGTCGCCTCCGTCCACTACCGCCTCGCCCCGGAACACCCCCTCCCCACCGCTTACGAAGACGCGTGGGAGGCCATCCGGTGGATCGCCTCCCACGCCACGGGCAACGGCCCGGAGCCCTGGCTGAACGCCCACGTCGATCCGGGGAATGTGTTCCTCGCCGGCGACAGCGCCGGCGGCAACATCGCGCACAGCATGGCTATGCGAGGCAGTGCAGAAGGGTTCGGGGGATTGAACCTCCAAGGGATGGTGCTGCTTCACCCGTTCTTCGGGAACGATAAAAAGGACGAGCTTGTAGAGTTTCTGTACCCTACGTACGGAGGATTGAGCGACACTATGATCCACGCCCCGCTGGATCCGAAACTGTCGGATCTGGCGTGTCCGAGGGTGCTGATCTTCGTGTCGGAGAAAGATTTTCTGAGGGACAGAGGGTGCAGCTATTACGAGGCGCTGATGAAAAGTGGGTGGAAGGGTAAGGTGGAGAAGGTGGAGTTCCAGGGAGAGGACCATGTGTTTCATATCCTGGACCCCTCTAAGCAAAACTCCGTGGATCTCGTTAATCAATTTGTTGAATTCTTGAAGCAAACCCCCTCGGGCTGATGACTCATTTATTACAGTACTCTTTTCTTATTATTGCTTTACTTTCGCGTTGTAGCTCTGGAAGTTCGTGTTTTATGGATTGGTCTGTTTTCTTCTCGCTCTAGCTAGTATGGAAGAGAATGTTCACGTCAATTGAACTGAGCTCACTCGGATTTTTGTTTCCAATTCTCTTGCTTCAAGTGAATACAGCAATGGGCAAATGGCGTCTCTCAATAAGAACTGTGTTCCATATTATTGGAGAATATTTATATATTTTCTCAAGAAAATTAAGTCTTGTTATTTCTATTGATTTTTTTTCTCACTCATTCAAAGTTATACCATTACTTGCCAGAATCAGTTTTTACCCGATTAATGATGTGTCGATTATGACGCATATCTTACCGAAAATCAAACAACGACATGCCAGTATGAGAAAATTTGCAGAACATGCTTTGTCATATATTTTTAATGTATCAGAAAATGATGCATGAATGGAAAATCATGAATGGCGTAATGGTTCTACCTACGAATCAGTGTACATCGCTGCATCACCTTCTACGCTGACGGCTCCAAAGTCTTCATTTTCTTTTTCAATTTCTTTTAAAATCCAGTGAAGAAATAGACTAGGCAACAGAACAAAATGGAAAGAGAAAAGAAGATAATGTTGGGGGGTTGGACGGGGAGAGAAAAGTGTTTGGCTCATCATTACAAGTCTTGAAATGCAGGTTGAATTCAAAATACTAGACTCACGGATCCAAGTGAAATGTACTTTTATTTTCCTTTTCAACTTTCATATTTTTTAACATTTTTCCTATTCAATTGTCATTTTCAATATTTAATGCAACTTTAATTACTTTTTTTTTTATCATTTATTCTCTTATTCTTCACATAAATAAGCAGAAGAAAAACATAATAATAAAAAAGTGAAAGAAAAATATCACTTCCATATTTTACTATTTATTTTATATGAACTAATAAAAAATATAAAATAATTTATTAATTTTCAAAATCACTTATTCCTCTCTTTAAAATAAATGAATACTATTATATTTCATCACTTTATTTTTATTTTCAATTTTTTTTTCTCAAACAAACAAATTTACTTCTGTTGCTATTTTATTCTCTTTTTTTTTTTCATTCTTTCTTCCTTCCAACTTAACCTAAGGTTAAAAAAAGGCTAAAAGTGGAGGGAGTTGTTCGATAGTATTGTATTTTTTTTAAATTAAAGATTAATTTAGAAAAAAATATTTTTAAAAATAAATTAAAAAAAGTAATTTAAACATTTTTAAATATTAATTTAAAAAAATTGTTTTTAAACATAAATTAAAAATAATTGTTAACTCTAGTTTATAAAAACTGCTTTAAACAAAAAAGAATTACATAAAACAAAAAATAAAAAACAGTTTTGATAATTTGACTGTAATGAACTATTAATAAAAATGGGAAATTAGAAACAAAACATTTTTTGTCATTTTAATTATTTTTTAATTAAAAAAATTAGTACTACTTTTAAAAACAGTAAAGGTAAGTCTTAATTGATTAATAATAATAAAATTCTAATTTTCGTATTAATAAAATTGAACAAGCTCTTATTAATATGCAATTCATTGCACTTTTACTAATAGAACAATAGTTTTTAATGACTATATATTATAACGTTTTTTATTCATATCGTAATAAATTATACCGTGATTTTTGTAATTACAAAAGATTTTCTCTGCAGCTAGAATCCACGCATAAATTTGTTTATTACCAACATCCCCCTCAATCGTATGTTGTTAAAATATAACTTTTTTAGATTATTGCGTGTATTGGCTAAGTGGTGTTCGAACCTTGACATTATGTATCTGGATTATTTGCATTTACAAACCAAAATTTCACAGCATATTTGTGTAACAAATGATTTTCTGATACCATTTTAATTTTGAATGAATTAGTTGATTCTATTAAAAATATATAATGGTTTACCAATGTTATATTTATAAATGTATAAATACATTTATATATTACTTCGTAAAATATATTAATAAATTAGAATTGGATTAATTATAGAATGATTTTTTATCATAAAAATGAATGTTGTAGAAAGTAATAAATTCTACCATTAATTATTTGAATGAGCAAAGATTATAGAGTTTATACCAGGGCAAATTTTATTTAATGATTTCCTAAAAAAATTATATAAAGTAGAAATCATGATGAATTAATAGAGATATCAAGTATACATGTGTTATCTCATGGTGAATTAATAGGGATACCAAGTATACATGTGTTTCTCTTTATAGAGATGGACAATCAACTAAAGAAATTATTTTTGATGTTAAACATTATGCTTTTTAACATGTGTATAATAATTTATATAGTGATGAGGAGAAATCTTTATATAAAAGGCGTTTTAATTTTACAAGATTGTCAATAATATTAAAATTGTTCAATAAGAAGGAAGACATTGATAAATTGTTATAAACTTCACGCAATTTTTTAATGATATACTTGCTAAAGTAACGATAAGTAATTATGATGTAAAGAAAATATTTTTCTAACGATAACAGATTATTAAAAAAATTTATCCATGTCAAACTATTTTATATAGTACAAGAAAGAATTTGACAAATTACATGAGTGTTCACATTTTGTGATCTCATGACTTAAGTAAAGAGTGGGTGATTTTGAGCATGATGTTAGGAAGGTCAATCTATGAAGGTGTTATGCTATCTTCTTATAGTTCTAAGCCAAACAATTATTCATCATTAAAAATGATGCAAAATTCACTAGATGACATGTGAATAGAGGTAAAAATGATTGTCATTTGAGACATCCAACAAATTATTTGCAACGGAAATTGATTTTATATTATCACATTTCAATAATGATCAAGGGAACATTAATCTTGAACTTGTTATAGTTAGAATGAATCTGTATGGTAACTTGAGTAGTAAACATAGTTTATTATGGTTTGTGTTGTTAGTGATTTACAACTTACCTCCGTATTTGTGTATGAAGTAACTGAAATTTTTAATGATCTCAAATCCAAGACAAATAGGAGATGACATTGGTTTTCATTTAAACCTATTGGTTGAAGATTTAAAGATGTTACGAGAGGAAGACATAAATGTGATTGACAGGTACATATATCACTCTTCCAAGATGTGTGATTATGTTGGGATAAAGATATTTGATTAGCTAAATTATAGGTTTGTATAGCGGTACAAAATATTGTATAATCGAACTTCCTATATTTAGTCCCGATTTGTTAGAGTAAAATATTATAAGATCATAGTATACGTGTACAAAAATAATATAAATAAAAATTATAGAATGAATTCTATGTTTTTCAATTTGGTATCAGGGCTTATAACTTTTTTCATTTTCTTTCAAAATCCTTGGAGATCTTAACTGGAGAGATGACAAAAAAACTAATTCCATTGGTTGTTCAATCTGAAGGTGTCTTCAATGCAGGCATCATCCTAAATGAATCCAATTATGACGTATGGTCACAACTAATGGAGATGCATATTGTAGAGAGGGAAAAATTATCCTATATCCGTGGGAAGGTGAAGCCTCCAACAGAGAACGATGAGGGATATGAAAAATGGTATGCTGAAAACCAAAAAGTGAAAAGATGGCTATTGATGTCCATGAAGCCAGAAATTATGAAAAGGTATATTCGCTTACCCACTGCCCTAGATATTTGGAATGCTTTGTCAAAGGAATTTTATGATGGAAGTGATGAGCTATAGGTGTTTGCCCTGAATCAAAGGGCATTCACTGCAAAACAAAATAATAGAACCTTAACTGAATATTATGGGGAGTTGGTTGAAATTTTTAAGGAATTGGACCATCATGACAAAGTAGTCATGAAGGACCCTGATGATGTGAAGTCATATAAGAAGTCCATTGAAAGATTAAGGGTGCATATATTCCTTGTTGGACTAGATGATGATTTTGAGCAAGTTCATGGAGAAATCTTGCGCAAAGAAGTGATACCTGATTTAGAAGAATGCTATGTATTGATCCGGAGAGAGACAGTCCGGCGAACAACGTTGAAAACAGAAGATATGATTTCTGATTCCACAGCTATGATGACAAAGAAGCAGCCAGCAGATCACCACAACAAATCGAAGCAATCAAAAGATTTTGAAAAAGGTAACTAGAAGTGTACTCAGTGTAATAAGGATGGACACACCAAGGAACGATGCTATGAAATCATAGAATACTCCGAGTGGTGGGATCACAGTCGAGCATCGAAGAAGAATTAAAAAAGAAATCCAACTGCTGCTGCTGTAACTGCCATTGACAAAGAGGACGACAAAGGCATGATGTTTGCTACAATCGCAGGTAGTGATGATTCTAATGGTAAGGCTTTAATAAGCACATATACCGTTCTGAATAATGCATGGATAATTGACTCTGCATGTTCTGATCATGTGACTTTTGATGTTAGACAAATTAAAAATCTTAAACCTTCCTCACAAAAAAGTATATCCATAATGAATGATAGTAAATTCACTATTATTGGAGAAGAAACTGTCTCTATTTCAAACAATTTGAATCTTAATACTGTCCTTGTTGTTCCTTCTCTTAAATATAACCTATTGTCAGTTTTGCAAATAACCAAAGCTCTTTTATGTGTTATAATTTTTTGGCCTGACTCTTGTGTTTTTAAGGATATTCAAACAAGGAAGACGATTGGTTGTGGTATTAGGCGAGGATGGTTGTATTACCTAGACCTGACAGAAAAAGATTCAAAGAGACTTGGTCAAGTGCTAGCAACAAAAGGGTCTCAAGAAGTAAGAAAAGGCAAGGATATCTGGTTATGGCATAAGCGTCTAGGACATGCATCTTTTGGTTACATAAAGAAATTATTTCCAAATGTATTTGACCAAGTAGACACTTCAACTTTTTATTGTGATGTTTGTGAGCTTGCAAAGAGTCATTTTCCTTTAATTTTAAATAAAAGTTCTCTTCCTTTTATGATCGTTCACTCTGATGTATGGGGTTCATCTAAGGTTACAACGTCG